TACTGCAATTTATTACAGTCTCGCCTTCATCAGTTTTCTTGTCTTTAGAACTGCTAGAATCTGCAACGTCTAGATGGCTTCCTGTGTGCTGCCTCATGTCAGAAAAGGATCTTGATAAGAATGGTCGTTTTTTCAAGAATAAGCATACGACTGCACAATCATCGACCTTGGAACCTGGATACTTGGTTCTCCATGTTTGAACAGCATAATATACCAGAAGTTTAGCTGCTATGGATCGTTTCTTGACCGAAGCAACTATTCTTATGACCTCATTGTTGGTTAGCACATCCCACACCTGCAAAATTTGATGTCATAAACTTACAGCAGAAGTTCGGATAAGCTAGAAGCCAAGCACGGCTAAATTCATAGCTGAATTCTGTTTTTGGGGTTTGGAGAGAGGGGATAATTAGATTTATTGAACCAACAGTAGTATAAAGCTCATCCGTACAATCTTATGCTTGCTAGAAGGATACTTTCCTCAGAACAATACTGTCATTTTCAGCCATTAAGTTACTGCTCATACTATCTTATGCTTGATTATACCTGAAGATTCATTTAAGCATCAAACAATACTAGCAAAAGTCAAAGATTTTCTATAACAGACATGTATATGTTAACATTTGCTATCTTACCCCATCAGTTGCCAGAACCACAAATTCATCTTTGCTTGTAAGCCTTCTATAAGAAACTTGAGGGATTGAGCTGAGACCATGATCCTTCAGGCAGAAATCCCCAAAAGCCCTTGCCATGGCTAGACCAGGGTAATCTTGATTGGGCATCCACACTCTTTGTACATTTGGTTCTTCGTCCATTGCAAAGACCCTGCCGCCGCACCTTTGGATTCTTTCAGCTTCACCTAAAGTACAAACACACACACACGCACACAAAAGAGGGAGACAGAAACTTAATATCAATTATCTCGTATGGTTTGATAGGCTACGTGAATATCAGAGAAAATACTCACTTGGTATACTAGGTTTCAAATCAACTGTGAGTTGGACGGGAACTAGTTGGTTTGTGTCGTCTCTAGTGCAAAGAACGGCACGAGAATCCCCCAAGTTTGAAACTATTAAGTGTTCACCCTGAAATCAAAAAAAAGAAGAAACCATGAATAATATTTTAATCTACTAGCAGTATCTTCTGTCTACCAAAAAGAGCTTTCATGCGAGCTGCATTTGACGGTATACCTGCTTAACAATAATCACAGCTGTCGTACCACTGCAGTAACTATCAAGAGACTCTTCCAACATAAGATCTTCATCCGCTTCTCCGAAAGCTTGAATCAAACTTGGCTCCCAAGAAGATAAGATCTCATTGTGACTGCTGTATTCCTTGTCACCGTCTTTGTTAACACCAGTGCTATCAACTTTACCACGATTTTGTCCAACGGTAACAACATCAACATTTTCTTTGCAGGCATCAGATTGTGATGCTCTGATGACTGAAGAGAGCTTGAGGGGTAAGGTGTCACATACATAGCGTGCAATCCTGTGACCTGATGCACCATGACCATCAAACACACCGCAGAAGAACACATTCTTCTCACCCATAAAGTTCTGGATCAAGTTTAAATGTCTTAGTTCCATGCATTGAATAATTAACCAATTATTTTTGGGTTAAAACCCAGATAAATATCAGAAATGAAACATGTATATATGTAGTTGATTCAGAAAGAATATGTATGTTTGTCCTGGCCTAGAAGTATGAGACTAATTCGTTTACAAACACAAGCTGATAACTTAATCTCCCACCAGAAATAGATCTTCCTCCATATATCCCATTGACAATCTGGTATACAGTTTCTTCTTTAGTCCTCAGTCTTTGAGAGCTGATAAGAGTAATTTATTAGGTAAACCCATTATGATTCACCAGATAATTTGATTTTGTCAGAAATGTTGGTCTTGGTCGGAACAAGTTATTTTGCACCAACTATCATGGGATGACCAATTAAATTTCTTAACAATCAATAGTTAATGAAATGTTAAATATTGATGATCAATTGAATTCATGCTCTAGACGACAAGAGGAAACAGAAAGAATCTAAAGCATGGAGAAATCATCAAGCAAACAAGATAAAGACAATCAAGATATTTTCTCACAATCTGTCAATCTCAGACGAAGGTCATGCATCACTTTCAGAAAGGTCGTCCGTAAAACAGGGCATGCATTAAAAAGAAAAAGAAAGAAGAAAAGGAGACGATCACCACCCAATTTTTATCGTTACCATGGAAATTCTCACGTCAACAAAAACTTAGAATATCTAACGCAGATTGCAAAAGCAGAAGAAAGCCACATATTACCCCCATGAATCATATTCGTTAGATAAACATTTTTTGGATTAGGCATTGACCAACAACGATGTGACGGACCTTTTAGGGGTTAATGCAAACAACAAGAGAAAAGAGGGCAGTTGGAATATTGATTGGAAACTCACCTCCCAAACGGTCATGGAGTCCTGATTGACCCCTTTTTTCCCCTGTCGGGTGTACATAGATGTGTAGGAAGAGGATCCCTGCAATCTTACGATGGCCCCATCGCGTCGAAGAGTGGTATGACCGTCCTCATGGCCGCCTCTGTCTTCTATCTCCTCCAAGTCATGTTCGTGAGGGCGGCAACCGTTGTACTTGATTTGTGTGCTGCAGCAGGCACCCATGTTGGGTTCGGAGTATCAAAGGAGAAGGACGAGAAGGCAGCACCGAGGCACCCGCACCGAAAGGCTATGGATGCCACGGATATTTCCCGGGAAAAAGCAAGCCCCAAAATGGAGGAGATATGGTGTTGGAGGCGACCCCGGAGGCTCAAAATTTAAATGCATGGAGAGCCAGAGGAGAACTCAAGGCCATCATTTTACTCTTATTACTATATAAAAAGGCTAGATAAAATTTAAGCAAAAAAAAACCAAACAAAAAAACAGCTTTTCTTATTTAAGAGGGACACAAAGACTGTGAGAGGGGTGAACCAGTCATGGCTTACGGAAGGACATGCCTTTGGTTTATCTACTATAAAGCAATTAACCACATTTTGGACTTTTAAGAATAAAAAACGGCACGCTCCTCGTATCTGTCTTGTTTTTCAGTTTCATCTCTGTTCTCCACGTCGAGACTCCTCCATGCAGAGCCCTTTTCGCTCAGCATATCCTTAATGACTAACTTACCCTCCATCTCCGTTCTTTATCTTTTCTGTTTCTTTTACCACTTAAATATTCTTAAGTTGTAATAGCTAACCTTGATGGGTTTCTTTGAATGTTTTTATCTGTACCCAAGTAATATAAGACAAAAGTAAACATAGTTGTACCCTGTTTCGTTTTTGAGTTTGTCATTCTTTGTTCAAAGCTTGGAATACCAGCTTTTGGCCATTTGCTACATGAATGCTCTGCGAGTCAGCAGTGCCAGAGTTTTGATTCGTGCTTTTACATTGAAATTATTTACTTAGGGATGGACCATTCAGGCTTGCTTGTTGCCACTTTCCGCCACTGCTTCCAAGCTCCAAAAGGGGTTTCTCCGAAATCTCTCTTAGTGTAAGCAATCTGCGAGAATACTTCAATCAAATTTAATATAATTTTATTTAAAAAATATTATTAAATACTATTATTAATAAAATTTTATTGTTGTTATTTAAATTTTAAATCTTATGAGATAATTTTTTAAAATATCTTTTTATCGCTTATTTATTTAAAATTATAAAATTTGTTAAAAATGGCTATTTATTATTATAAATTAAAATATTAGAATTAAAATAAAATATATTTTTACATACTAAATTATTAAGTTCAATAACTACTAATATGGTAATTTTCTATTCATTGATCAAAATTAAATATAAATATCCACAAATCACATAAATTTAAATATAAAAATTAAATAATCATATAATATATCTACAAAATAAATAAATAATAAATTTATAATTTCAAAATACTATTTAACATTTAATATTATTTTTAATTAACTAAATTATAATTAAAAATCTAAATTGTCAAACTAATAAAAAAATTTAGACATGAAATATTTAAAAATTTAATATAAGTTAAAAATTATTTACAATTGAAGCTAGATGAGTTGTTTTAAGAAATTAAAAATCACAATCAAAGATCAAGAACTGAAAAGATTTGAATTTTTAAAAAGAGGATAGATTAAGTTTTAACTTTTTTTAATAAAATCTTAAATTAAAAAAAATTATAATATTTAAATATCAATGCATAAATTACTTTTACTTGAAATCTTTGATCCTATTCTTTATAAAATTGAAAAAAAAATAATGAATTCATTTATATATTAATTATCTTAAATTTACAATAAATTATATAAAAATCAAAATATTTTAAAAAGTAAATTATGTCATGTGACACGTTCCAACATAGGTCCGCCCATGGGATCAGTCCATGTGCTATAATTAGGACTTTCACAAACCAAGTCCCAAGACTAATGATGAACAGATGGGCCTAAGCCATAACCACAGCTTCCAGGCACCGACCCCACCATGAATCCAGGACATGAAACAGAGTTGGCCACGAAATGAAATGCTCTGCTTTTTAATTTGATAGTTGATAACCACCAATGGCTAATTTCCATTTTCGGAAAAAACCAAAAGAAGCAGTGCTACAAGAACAAAAGAATGGTTCAACTCCATTTAACCGAACCATTTCCTACCGAAGCTTAATTTTGCTCCATAGGCTACAACATGCAGATTACTGGGAACAAGTAGTACACTAGTGTGATTTCCTGTTAGTAAAAAGCAAAAACAGAAGCAAACTTTGCAAACCATTCAAAGTTAAGGAGACTTTAAAGGATTATCAAAGGCCTTGAATCGATGAAAGGGGGTGAGCTCACAAAGGTATTCCAGCAATTGATCTTCTACAAAGACTAAACTAGCTGTGCTACTCATGGACCATGCTTCAACCTACATGTAATGTAAGAAGAAAGGGTTTCATGCAGAACCTGCATATGATAGTTGTCAGTCAAGCTCCATTAGAAATGAATGATTAAAAATAGTCAATCTTCTAGATGAACATTTTCCAATGCCCAAAACTTTTAATGCAACTGCTTCTACACGCAATAAAATAAAGCCATACACATGCCAGAAATCACCTGCAGGCCTAAATGAAAAACAATGAAACAAGCAGCTACAAGATTAATTTTGATTTGCAGCTACATCTCTTACAATGAAAGGAACCTGAACAAGAATTGCACCAACGAAAAAAAGGAACCTGAAAATGATGAAAAAGAAAAACCTATGGGTTCTAAGGGGGAGGAAGAAAAAAATGCAACATTACAGAACAAGCATAGGTGGCACTTGGTACCAGTCACCACCACTGATGAACAAGAACTCCACTTTTTCTAAGGGAAGTAAACAGTTTCAAGCATTGGCCGTAATTTTTCTCATATTTTGTACTCCTCTGACCAGGGCAACATCTCTGCCACCTATTATAATGGCATTCAAGGAAAATCTCATCAATCAGACAGATTGCCCCCGTTTCAAACAACCTCGGAATCAAGTCGAATTCAGTTCCTTCAACATCCATCTTCATCACCACAAAATCCCTCTCTGTAACAGTGTTCTTCAACCACTCTGCAAAATCAAACCCCTGAATCTCATCCACCTCACCAGTAAATTCACCTTGCCTCGATTTCACGGGTTGAATTCTGCCCATCCCTCTGCCTTTATCCTTAAGCTCGTTCACTTCTTCCTGGCCAGGATCGCGATTAATCTCAAAAGACAGTGATTCATTCCTAACCCACGCCGCATAAGGCAACAATGTAACTGTCTTCTTCTTCAATTCATATTGTTTATGAAAATGTTTGTCAGCCTCAATAGCATAGACATGAAAGGTTTTGTTCTGTTTGGGGTATTGTTTCCTGAACCAGCTTCCAATACTAGAACCATAACTCCTAGCCCCAACATCAACATAAACATACCTGTTCTTGAAACTTATATCAACCATTGATGGCAAATACTTTATGTTGTTTATGTTCCTTTTCAACGTAATCCACG